AATAACAAGGGCCAACAGCGACTGCAGAAACGCCATACCAGAAATGCTGTTTTAAAATATCTTTCGAGTTTCTTAATCTCACATCACCCAATTTTCCCAAAAGTCTCTCCTACCTTTTTTGCAGCGTCCACGGCCGTGTCAAGCCACACAGCGGATCACATACAGGCTCAATATGTCTGTGATGAACGGCGACGACCCTCCTCCCCCACCTTATAGTTTTGTTGGCTCATCGCGACTCTCTCCGGTGCCCTCTGTTCGTCACTCGCCTCCACCTTATCATCATGGGCCGCCATTACGTCAAGGAAGGCTTTCACAAAATCAGTCACCACAGTCGCCCCTGTACAGCAACGCCCTTCCAGCCGCTCTCGAAAATCCTAGACTACCGAGACAGCGGCAGCATGTCCCATATCACCACCGGAACACAGGTCAAATAGGACCTACAAACGGGGCTCCACCTCAAGGCCAAGAGTTCGAACTCCGGTAAGCGTTATGGAGGCTTATCCCATTCTTATTATCTCGTCCACTAACTCGAAGATTGAAAAAACAAAATCATAGCCAAGATGACTTGGTGATTCCTATAATGGGACTTACTGGCTCGGGAAGGAGCTCTTTTATTTCTCTTCTAGCAGACGGCCAGGGCAATCCCGTTGCACGCAGTCCCAAGGGATGTATGTACTCCCTTACCACATCAAATTTTTATCCCCATAAACCGGCCCGATCTGCTCTGTTAATTATCCATCTGTATTCCATTCACAGACACAAATGACATAGTAGTCTACCCATACCAAGTTGACCAGAAAACACGAGTGATCCTCGTTGATACACCCGGCTTCAACAAAGCAAGCAGAGGCAACATCACCACTCTCAATTCCATCGCCAACTTCCTCTGCCTAATTTACAACAGCAATATCAGGATTGCTGGTATCATATACCTACATGATATAACAGCCAGACGGATGGACAGCCACGCCCTGCGTAATCTGCACATGTTTAAAAAGCTTTGCGGCTCCAGCGGTTTGTCGAATGTGACCATGGCGACGACTATGTGGGGAAAACTAGGCACATTCCATGAAGGTGAAAGTCGCGAGAGGCAGCTACGGGATCGCTACTGGAGTAGCATTCTCAATCGCGGGGGCATTATGATGCGCCATACCGGGAGCAAGCGGTCAGCAGAGGAGATTGTGAACACCCTCTTACGCAAACAACAACCCATAGTCCTTGCTATCCAGCAGGAACTGGTGGTGCACCGGCAGCAACTGGGTGATACAGCGGCAGGTCGAGAACTCTATGCAGAAATAAGCAAGGAGAAGCAGCATTACATCACTGAACTTGACCAACTGCGCCTGGAGCTTGATGAGGCGCTCCGGCGGAAGGATTTCGAGTACGGGCAGATGCTGAGGGAGACGAAATCACAGCTATACAAGAAGATCAGGCTCGTAGAGGAGAGCAAAGGGGTTTTGAGAGCGGATTTCCAGCGGCTGAAGGGTGAGGTGCGTGAACAGGAGGCTGGGAAGAAGAAGAAATATTTTGGGAGGACAGCTTTGGGGATTGGGGTGGGTACAATCCTCGGCTTGACAACGGGCGTTTTCATTTAGAGATACCTGTCTTTTGTTTTGTTAATTATGTTTTCGTGTTCTTCTCCTAGGCGAGGTTGTCTCCTGGAATGAGACCAGAGGGTGGTGGTATTCTGACTAGATCAGGCCATCATTCAGGTTATATTGGCTTAAAACGATTCCCCATTTGTTTCTTTCGAGGTTCGAATATATTTTCTAGCATAATTAGTATAATTCACAAACTTATTAATGGCCATATTTTTATACTCTTTACGAGTATTTAGTTCCTAGCAATAATCTCATCCTGGATCTTTTCATCTGAAGAGGAATCAATTCGGGTATTAGGAAATATTCTGCCAATAAAACAGGGGCGGATTGAATTCCAACCCGTTTACCCCACGCGATGATGTAGTTAACCAGCGATGAAGGATAATAGTACTCCTCTTCTCACCATCCCCACTCCCATACTAACAATATCACTCTACACAAATCCATACCACAATCGGACTTCACAATCGCTCAACATGGCCTCTGAACCCCTCGCCAACCTCAAATTCCATCTATACTCCTACTTCCGCTCCTCCTGCGCTGGCCGCCTCCGCATCGCTCTAAACCTGAAACAAATCCCGTATACCACCAGCTTCGTAAACCTACTAAAGGGTGACCAACTCTCCGCCACCCACCGCGCGCTGAACCCCTCGGCCACTGTCCCCGTCCTCACCGTCACCTCAAAAGACCCCAACACTACCAACACCAGCGGTGCCGAAGCCGAACAAACAATCTCAATCGGCCAATCCGTCGCTGCGCTAGAATATCTCGAGGAGCTCTTCACCAACTACTCCGCTCCATCATCAGTGCCTGCTCAGACAACGACGACGCCCACTCCCCTCCTCCCCCCACTCACAAACCCCCAGTCCCGCGCCCACGTCCGCACCCTCGTAAATATCATAGCCTGCGACATCCAGCCCGTGACAAACCTGCGTATTCAAAAGCGCGTAAAAGCACTCGACGCTGATAACACCCTCTGGGCGCGCGAGCTCATGGTGGACGGCTTCGCAGCGCTGGAGGCGCAGATGAGTGAGTGGGCCGGAGAATATTGTGTGGGTGATGCGATATCGTTGGCGGATGTGTGTCTTGTCCCCGCTGTGTGGGCAGCCCAGAGGATTGAGGTGGATTTGACGCCGTATCCGACCGTGAGCAGGGTTTTTGAACGGTTGGAAGGATTGGAGGCGATTAAGAAGGCTCATTGGAGCAGACAGCCCGATACGCCGGAAGAGCTGAGGAGTGGAAATTGATTTTTTTTTTTTTTTTTTTTTTTTTTTTTTTTTGAGAGATAGAGAGAAAGAGAATATTCCCGTTGATTTAATAGGGTTTTGTATATATTCCGTGTATATACATTGCAGCGGCCGAATTACTGCTGCACACCGCCGCTACGCTGTGCTTGATTTTTCCCATGATCTATTACTTCATGTATTAAAACATGAAGGAGAAATGTTTGATCTCTATATTCCATATCAATTATATCGAATATCACGGGCTTTGGGCATTATTGAATTCGTTTACCCAATTGCCAGTATTCCTCGGATTTTACGTTGATTCATTTACGGCAAATTTAAAAAATGAAAACACCAAGTTGTTTCATATCTCATGACATAAATTCCTTTTCATGGCAACTAATTTAAACTACATCATAAATTAAACAAATTCATAGATTTTGGTATCCTAGATCTGGGGAGCGGACAAAATAACAGCCGCACAATCACCAAAGCCGACATAGCTGCCCTCCTTCCCGCACGCACCACGCAGAATAACCTCATCGCCATCCTGCAAGAAAACCCGCTCAGACCCATCAACAAGCTTAATCGGATTCTTCCCGCCGTCCGTATTCTCCAATAAACTACCAAGCGTCCCTGGTTTATCCCCTGAGATCGTCCCGCTCCCCAAAAGATCACCAGTACGCATGTTACAGCCCGTAATCGAATGATGAGCCAACATCTGCGGGAAGGAGAAGAGTAAGTTCTTAGAGTTTGACTCAGCAATCTTGGTTCCCTTGCCATTTACAACAAGATTCACTTCCAGTGGGATATCGTATACGTTCTTAGGCTTTTTTTCCTGGAGATAAGGGAGCAAGGGCTTTTCAGGTTCTAACCCTTGAGTACGGAATGGTTCCAAGGCATCCATCAGGACAACCCAGGGTGTGATGGTGGTAGCGAAATTCTTCGCATTGAAAGGGCCCAGAGGAACATATTCCCAGGCCTGGATGTCACGGGCTGACCAGTCATTCATCAGGACAACGCCGAAGAGATGGTCCTCAGCTCGATCAACGGGAATTGGTGTGCCTAGTTCGTTTCCTTTGGCAACAAAGACGGCCAGCTCGAGCTCGATGTCAAGTTTCTTGCAAGGGGAGAATATGGGTTCTTTGGGGGTGGCAGCTGGGTTGGCGAGGATTTGCCCATTGGGCCGCCGGATGGGCTGTCCAGAGACAATTACGGACGACGCACGTCCATGATAACCAACTGGTAGATGTTTGTAGTTTGGTTGTAGTGCGTTGTCTGGTCCACGGAACAGGACACCAACGTTGTAAGCATGATTGAGACCGGCATAGAAGTCTGTATAATCGCCAATGCTCATGGGGATGTGATTGGTGACATCTTTTCTCAAAATCAATGCCGATTCCTTAAGACGTTCGTTCGATTTCAACAACTCTGGGAACGGTGTGTCTTCCTTGAAAATAGCCTGTAGATATTCTCGCACCTGGCGATGGATGGGTCTACCGAGGGCTGCGAAGTCATTCAATGTTGGCTGGGCAAAAACGTCGAGGTGTTGCTGGAAGGACTGCAATTGTGCAAACCCTCCACCTGAAGCAAAGGAGAAGAGATCTAGCGCATGATCGCCAATCGCAATTGCTGGACGGGGGTTAGAGGAGGCAGTGGTAGAGATAATTCCAAAGGGGATGTTTGCTAGAGAGAAAGGAGAGTCCTTAGGAATCTGAAGCCAGGAAGATGCCATGATTGAGAATGATGAGTAGTATCTGGTAGAGATGAGACTCTGTATCCTGTAAGTGGTAGCTGTGAAGTCTCATAAAGAGTTTGGATATACATTGGCCCCACCACACGGAAATGGTTCCGCGCGCTTATTCGCGGGGGGGCTAACATTCTACTCGCTCAATTAGCGTCTACTGATATGGCCAATAAGCAGCTTGGAGAAAAATACTCCAGTATTGTCTCGTCGCGGCCAGACGAGGAGATATTGGAACCTTACCAGCCCGGATACAGAAGGTTATATATTTTGATCCTCCCTTCATTGTCGACTAGCAGGCCGAGAAACAGCCATTAGCAGAATAAGGCAACATCGACGAGGGGAAGGGTGAGATGCTCCCTAGAGTCTCCCTAGAGTGACGTACGCTATCCCAACAAAGAAACGATGGAGAAAAAAGGAAAAAGAAAATGGACACTGCCGGAATCGAACCGGCGACCCTATCAAGACACGTAAAAGCTGATGCGAATGATATGTTATACCACTAAACCAAGCGCCCTAGTATCATCCTCGGTTTTTTTTGCAATCGGAAATTCGTAACAGGATTGTTTGTATATTATTTAACGCGATGTCCGCAACATTGAATCCAAATGCAGACACAATCTAGAATCCTTTAAAAGAATAAAGCAATATTTTTCCTTATTTCAAAGAGAACACAAAAGCCCACTTGACAAGAATGCTTCATATATCAAACCCAACTCTGGCTCCACACACAAAACTACTACTACTAATTTCCTGAGGCAGACAACGTCATTGATCTAAGAACCCCCGACCTTTGATCTTGAAAAGTCATCAGGGAAAAACAAATATATGCATATACGGTTAACCTCAGGCGTTTCACGCATATGTTCAGCTCGTATATAACGACCGCCAGCCATGTTCTCCGTCATCCTCCCCAGCCGGCCCTGCCTCACCGACGTTGTCCCAATGCCTTCAGACCCCACTGTCCCCGCAAACAACTTCGCCTTCACCTTTCCCGCCCTGCCCAAGTTTTCACACATTGTCATTTTCCTTCTACCAGGCGTTATCTTACCAGCTGACACAGCAGCAGCGGTATATATACAATTTCCAAAGGACCTCATCCTCAACTCTAACAACGGAACCACAAACCCCCAACTCTCCACGCCCGCCGTGAATACACCCCCGGACTTCAAATTCCTAGGCGCAATAGCCAACGAGAAACCTTCCGCGATCTTCAAAGTCAGTTTCCCTTCAGGCCGACGACGCACGGAGGCGGAAGAGGAGGATGAAATGATGGATGAAGGTGCCGCCAGCGTCGCCCCCGTGGACGCATCGGAAATAAACCCCAATGCTACAATCACACTAGGAATCACCATCGAACCAATGCAGGCCGTTGCGTCAAAGATGGCAGACCTTCAGGCCCAGCTGCAAAGGTCCTCGGTCCCATCCACAACGGACTTGACCAAATTGTCCGCCGGTCAACCAGCTGCCGCAGTGACTACGGGGACACCGTCGGTACCAGTGAAATCCCTTGCTCAGCGGATTATTGGCAATGCATTTAATTATTTGGCTAGCTTTGCAGTTACGGATCCCAGGGCTCCGGGTGAGGAGATTGTGCCATTGAGGGCATTCAAGGATTGGTGGGCAAAGTTTGAGAGTAGAATTGATTCCGATCCGAGGTTTTTGGAGAGGGCGGCTGGCGTATAGCTTGTGTTTATTCTACATTTTACGGGTGGGTTATTTCTGTGATATGCGAGCTTCGAAATTATGCACCATGGACCTTTATTTTGTTTAAATGACCAAGGGCATAGCGTTAGTTTGTTTTAGCCTGTACGTATATGTATACTTAATTCAATAACATACCTATTATAGTTATCTCTACCAATACCGCGGAATACAATTAAGCTGTCTAGGTATCTATAAACGTAGAGTTAAAAGCCAATGCATCCAATACTAATAAAGTCGTGGCTCCTAGGGCGTTGTTGGTATGTAACAGGCCTAACCTTGCAACGCTGTCACTCATTAATCAAAAACTCCAAAAATGCTTTCCCAACTACTATTCCATCGTGGTCATTCCCAACAGTAGCCATTCCACCCTCATATATCCCCGGAGGAAATACTCCCGCATTTCGTCGGGCATCCAGAATCTCTGCAACAATATCTTTGGTAAACTCGGGATGGCCTTGAACAGAAATAAACCGGCCTGGTGCATACATTCCTTGCACCTGACATACGGGCGAGGAGCCGAGAAGCGTAACATTAGGCGGACAGTAATGGACGATATCGCGATGCATTTGCTGAAGGCGCTGTTTTCGGGTTAAGTCAATATAAAAATGGATTTTGCTTAAAGTTGCTAGCCGTGGGAAGCAAGAAAGAAAGCAGCCACTGACTAATTTGTCAACACCAAATAGTTTCTTTCCTTCGGCCGTGAGGTCCATATCATGCACTGCGACCTCCCAGCCACCTTCATTAGGGCCGACTTTTACTCCTAGTGCCCTCCCGATGATTTGGTGTCCAAAGCAGACGCCGATAATACGGACCCGATCCTGCGCAAGGATTTTGGAGGTGAAATCTACCAGTTTATTTATCCAGGGTATATCATCAAAAGAGTTATGTTCTAGCCAGGGTTCAGTTTCGTGATCAATTACGGGAAAGATCCAGTACTTGCTCCGGCGAACTTACTTGACCCAGTTATCAACACTGCATCAACGTCCTCTAAATTCGGGTATTTATCCCCCTCCACAACATTCCATTTTGAAATCTCAAGTCCGGTGGCCGGGTCAATTTTGTCGGACTGGTTTAGTAGTTTGGCGCTGGACCAGAGTAAGGCTTCGAATACCCCGCCATAGCCGCCGTATTTTGATCTGGTTCTGTCCAGTGGGACATCGCATTCAAGCACGGCGATACGAAGCGGAGTGCGCATGGAAGCAGGTTTAGTTTCTCTACAAATAAAGAATGGAGGAGGAAAAAAGTGTACTATATATGAAAAAGCCGGGTGGATTTGCTAATAGGGTATTTTGTACCACTTGATCAAGATAGATAAATTGGGTATGCGGCTATGATGAGTAGTAGTATGAGGAGAAACGATCCCCGGCTCTGTCTGGAGAACCGGGATTGATAAGCGACCCCGATAACTTACGGGCCGAGTTCTGAGCCTCTCAGAAACAATCGCCACAGGACGTAGGCGGCTACTGAGACGCCTCAGCCAGTAGATAATCCAATAAGGTTCGGCTAGTCGGCAATAACGCCAATAATCAATTTACCGCTGACACAACCTCCCCTTGTTCCAAAGTTTTCCAGGCGAATTCAGGGCCACGAGGCGGAGAAAAAAAGTTCAACCATCTCCACTTTCAGGGGGGACCTTGGGAAATTGGTCCCTCAGTACGGAGTAGGGATGGCATTTTGGAGCAAAGTGGTTTCTGACTCCGTGGGACTACAATTTTCTAGATGCGCATCTACTGCTGCCAGCACTGTGCCTTCAGTATAGTAGTTATAGTAGTAAATTTTGACATTTACTACGTGCAGGATCAATAAGTCGCTGTTCGCGAAAGGGGGTTAATACACAATGAGTGCGGTGGCAAGCACCTCAACAGCTCAGTTTTGACGGGCCAAAAATAACTACTACCATTTTGTGTTTATTTCCAATTATCGAGGTTCTTGGGTTTGATTTCACCCAAAAGTTGCGACATTTCGGAAACGCCCATATCAAACAAGTTTTGAATAGACCAAATGTTAACATCTTATGCCTTGAGATCCATGTTGAAAAAGCTGGAGATTCGTACCGCATCCGACGTTGGTGGAAAAAATAGTAAGTAAATAAATAAATAAATTAATTAATTAATTCATCAGAAATCCCTAGACAGCTTTGTGACAGAGGGCATTGCGAAGAAGAAAGTGTTGAGCAGAATCATATTATTTTATGAACGTCATCCCCGTAAAATACCGGGCTATTGTTGCAAGGTTTTTTACACCCTCGTCGTCTCCCTGTTCTTTTCTGATTTTCTCGGCTCGATTCTCACCGCATTTTGATACTCCCTACGGAGTACACCCTTCGATTCGGAATCCCCCAGCCCCCTTGCCTTTGGCACAGCGCGTGAAATCATCTCATTCCGGGGCTTCGTGGGCTAGTATTGTGTTATGGCTTCCATCAGCATCATTGTCATTTTTCCAACCTCACATAGATGCAGGTACGGAGTACTCCGTACAGTAGAATATATCCTTATATTAATATCTGCTACGGAATATGTTTGTGGGTACCTAGAGCTGCGCCGGGTTCCCCAATGGCCTCTACGGATTACTACTGTTGGCTGGATGGCAGCACCTGCAATATGGCTTCCATTTCATCTCTATGGTAGGTTACGCTTGCCCTGGTGGCTTATGATACCGCTCTGTACCTCTTTGGGACCTGACATGGCGAAGAGTGAAGAATTAAAAACTTGCCCGGCAAACTATACTACGAAGAATCAGTGTAAAAGGCACTCTTCCTTGAAGGTCGACGGGTGCGGCTCTAGAGAGGTAGAGGGTACTAATGGGTATGGCGGGATTGACCTTTTTGTCACTTACCCCTACCAGTTGAGTTTGTTGGAAACGCCTATCCGCCCTGTTCAAAAGGACTGGTATGTTTCCGCGGCGATGGTTAAGCGGCTGGGCGACAAAACGTCAGCTGGAGTGGGATGGGCAAATGATTTTTTGGTATATTTTGATGAGTAGTATAGATAGTAGCAGAATACACAGCTGAAGCGAAAGTATACTATGTTATATCAATAAAAGGTTACATAGTCGAATGGTGAAATCCCGATAACATAGCACCTCACTGGCTCTCCTACGTTGCTGGGGTGGAGGAGTCATCGTCGGACACGTGGGTGGGGGCATGGGAAGGATTATCAGCATTGTCTAGAGCGCACATCTTTTCCAAGGTTTAGAGACGCTTCCGGGGGCTTTTCCGGTATTGTGAAAGTAGCCGATAGCGTTTGCGTTGATAGATGAATCTAGATGTTTTGTTTATCCCTCACTACACATACGGATGCATAACAAATAATCGTCTAGGCGGGCTGGATGTATGCATGCCATTTGTTAAGTTGTACCAGATGCAAAAAAGCTGTGAAATAGGTCCAATTTTCCACATGCAAACGGATTGGTGGTGGAAAAATATTGATTTCATAAAACATGAACTAACTAGCCGCTGAAAAAAGAACACGTAAGAAAATATTGATGAGGGGAGAAAATCCTACATATCACCATTTCTTTGTCGTCTAGGCGAATATCAGTGAAACATATGTGAAGGGCGGGATGGGAGCGAAAACTCAGGTTCATCGAGAAATTACCATTATCATGTCAGAATTAAGGAAAAATATCTTTTTATCTCAACAGTTATTTGAGCTCGAAATTCGCGTGGAAAACGAAGAAAAATAGAAAGCAGATGAAACATACAGAAATTATTATTATCCGGAGAAACAAAAGGAGAGATGTAATAAAAAAAATGGTTACATGAGGCAGAATAATAACAGCCTGGAAGTTATGTGGAAGAGAACAGAGCAA